TGGAAAGCAGGTTAGTGGGGTGGGGAGGGAATGGAGATTTTACAGTATCCTTCCCTTGCCACACCCACCAAGCCACGCCCACCAGGCCATGCCACACCCACCAAGCCACACCATGCCCACCAAGCCATGCCCCACAGAACCACTATTGTATACAGTTTGACTCAGCTCAGCAAAGATATTCCTGCCTGGGAGATACAGTTAGTCCTCCATGTACGAATACAATTGAGCCACAATTTTATGTTTAGTGAGACAGTTGTTAAGTGACTTCGGCCCCGTTTTATGAGCTTTCTTGCCACCATTGTTAAGTGAATCACCCAAGTCTGTTAAGTTAGCAGCCCGGTTGTTAAGTGAATCTGGCTTCCCCGTGGATTTTGCTTGTCGCAAAAGGGGATCACGTGACCCCCCCAGGGACCCTCTGCAACCATCATAAATATGCAAGCATCTGAATTTTGATCAGGTGACCCTGGGGACGCTGCAGCAGTCATAAGCGTGAAAATCACTTTTTTTTCAGTGTCACTAAATGAGCTGTTGCATATGGTTCCCTTGATGAAGTCAAAGAGGTGGGATGGTTGCACCGTCTTCGTCTGCTCTTACAAAAGTTAAAACAGGCTAGTTGGCAGGAAGGGCAGCGATAGGATGCAGCCGGGAAGGTGTTGCGCCATAATCACACCTTTCAGGACTCCAACAAATCCACCCTCGTTCAGATCAAAAGTCTCTAGCCGCATCTCAGAGAAAAGTAAATTGATTTATTAGGAGCGGCCATGTTGGCGTGTGGCTGGGTGCAGCCGATACTAAATCACATCATACATTTCCCCCTTGACCCTGGTCTTCCCCCCATGCCCCCTTATCTAATTCTCCAATGGGACACATATCCATCTCCAAGAGTCATCCATCATGCTCTCCAATAACTTTCTTATGCACCAACAACTTTGAGCTGCCAAGGTGATTATCTAGACATTTAAGGAATGCCTTGTTTTCCCCCACTCCCTTTTTCTGGCAGCTAAAAAGACCAAAGGAGTATCTTTTTAGTTGACACACTCCACACTATAATCCGCAGATACAGAAACTTAGTAAGTAATTTATGACCTACCAGTCTTTCTATAGGTTATCCTTCCTTGCGTGGAAAAAGCCACAGGCAGATCTGCGCCAAACACTTGGTGGGAAAAATGGGATATACATATCATCATCATCATCTTTTTAATGACCCTTTGGGGGGTGGAGTCTGGGCAACCGAATGGAGCTGTTACTGGCCGCATGCCCTTCTTGTCACCAGTGTGGAGTTTTATTCAGCAGATATATTCTGTGTGCTAAGAGAGAAAAATATCTGCCTCTACCTGGAATCGAACTCATAGCCTCCTGGTTGTGAGGCAAGAGGTCCACCTCTAAGCCACCGCACCACTCATGGGATATAAATCTAATAACAAAAATGAATGAATACATTTTCCATACTGTTTCCACCTAAGTTATAGCATGATATTGTAGGAGAAAAGACGGCAGATTTGGGGGTGGAGTGAAAAAAGGCATTGGCGTAGAATCTCTACGTAGCCACAAAGGGACCAAGTCCAACCCCCTTGAATTCCATTGGCCCTCATCTAGTTCTTAGCAGCTGCTAATTGTTGAGAAGATTCCTGCACATAGGCATTTAGCAATCAATCCATTAAACTGAACCTTCACGTATGGACCTGGTCTTTTGCACTTGAGAGACAGCTATTAGACATGCCTTAAAACAGTAAATTATAATTAATGAAATGTTTAAAGTGATTGCAAAGACAAAATAAGTAACCGCTTAAAGTTGATTAAGCTATAGAGGAAGTGCTTAATTGATGAACTGATCTGTGTTGCGGTTTAGAAGGAGGCAATTAATTTATAGTTAATTTGGGCTGGCGATTTTTGTCGCTGCAATGCTCAGACTCTACAATATGATGCAAGAGTTTGAGTAAATGCATGTTATGGCAAACTACTAATCGCTTTCACTGTATAAGCACTCCTGTATCTTCCTTTGTTCGTTTCTCATGTGCTGAATTATCTTTGCAATTAATCTACCACAGTTTATTGTTAGGCTGTGCCTAGGCCTGTTTTTAGGGCTGGAAAAATGTAGCTTTTCAATGCCTATCAATCCAAAATCGCTCATATTTTATCGGTGTTGATAGAGATAGCAAGTGTCTTAAGTAGTTTGTGCAATTTAAGTAAAAAATGCAGATGTTCCAAGCAGCAGAGCAGAAGAAAGCAGTAAAAAAAATGAGAAGAAAAAATGAGGATAATTATAAAAATTAAACCGTACGAGAAGCGACAGATTTGCTGGTAGATGGCTATCCTGTTTTAGAACTGGATTTCATAAAAGAGGATAGAAACTAATTCATCCTTCATTGTTTGAAATTAACGTTTAGCTCCTATTTCAAGGCTTAATCTGTAGATAATCCACATTTGTTAATGGATAAATTCAATTTATATGTAGCATTTTTCTAATGAGCACACAATTCCAAACATTCCTAACCATTGTTACAGGTAAATTGTCTAACTGTGTTTCCTAAAAAAAATCACATTCCAAGAAGGTAATAAAATTAAAGCATGGAGATTTATCTTACTTCTGGAGAGAGGAAAAAAATACATGGTTTTGTTACTAGCATTGTGATGAAGAAAAATGACTTGTAAAATGTTAATTGTCTTAAACTCATCTGCTTTAATTCCAGGAGTAATATTTCTCCTCAGTTATTTAAATAAGAATAGCAACACATTAAAAGGCCATTATCTTTCTACTTGTTTTCTTGAAGTTCTAACGATGACTCATTCCAGGTCACATTTAAAACACTTCTAATTCACGAGTAAAATAGCATTTTGAAAAGTCTATTGGTAAAATTCTGAAACACCCCCAAAAGTCTTTAAAATAGTGGAAAACAGTGGTGCCCAACTTACTGTAAAGAGTATTACAAATGAGATTGAGAAGTAGTTTAGGAAGGAATCATTACGAGGCTTTAATTCAATTTTTCTAAATCAACGATAATTAAAAATAGACTATCTGCATCTTAATGTCTTTTTTAGTAGAGATGGACTTTTTTTTCTTTCCAATAAAGCAGGTCTAGTAGGACTTCAGAAAATTTAACTTGGCAAGCAAAGGAACGGAAGGATGAAATATAAGCAGCCAAGAAACCGAGAAAGAATGACACAGCAAGGAAGAAATTATGTCTTTGAGTTGGTTTTCAGCAGACCAGCTAATAATTACACAGGAATAACAGAATAACAAGAGTTGGAAGGGACTTCAGAGGTCTTCTAGTCCAGCCGCCTGCTCAAGCAGGAGGTCCTATATACCATTTCAGACAAGTGGCTGTCCAATCTCTTCTTAAAAACCTCCAGTGATGGAGTACCCACAACTTCTGGAGGAACATTCACTGATTGATTTTTCTCACTGTCAGGAAATGTCCCCTTATTTCTGCGTTGGTTTTTCTCTCCTGGATTTGTTTCTCGCTCGGTTCTTCTCTCCTTGATTGGTTTCTCGCTTGGTTCTTCTCTCCTTGATTGGTTTCTAGCTCGGTTCTTCTCTCCTTGATTGGTTT